AATATTCTTGATGTCATACAGAATATTCTTGTTTATTCAGGGCTACCTCAGAATGAACTTTAAATGTGCCAGAGTATAGATTTTAGTTATAAGTAATAACCGAGCTATTAAACATTTTGTCAACCCGAAACTTTTTGAAGATTCTTATACCATTACAATCCAAAACACTATGTATTGTTCTCCATACAAATGTTATATATATTTTTAATAAAAAGTAATTGAAAATTAAATTGGTATTTGCACTATATTGACAATTATCTCTGAGTGAGCTTACTAAGTGAGTGAGTGAGTGAGTGAGTGAGTGAGTGAGTAAGTGAGTATCACTAAGTTTTTTGAAGGACCGATTGTAAGGTAATCCTCCCAAACAGGAGGATAGTTGACAACCCTGAATATACATACATTGAAATAAAACGCGCAATCATCTAAACGATGGCTATATAAATGCTCTATTAATAAACTTTTTACTTGTTAAAATAAATTGAAATAGTGTAAAACTTGTTTTAAGTAATTCAACAGAATAATTAATTTGCTAAAATGGACCAGTTTATAGGCAAATTCGTGCAGACCTCAAGTGATAATATGGACGCTTATATGAAAGAGTGCGGTAGGTGTCGCTATCATACATATACGCCAATTTATGACTCAATTTAATCACTAACCATTGATCGCGTGACCCATTCACTCGCATTGATTAATCAAACAAACCGTACGTAATATGAGTTCATTTACTCATAGGACTGGCGGACAAAATACAAAAGTATAACTCAAAGCCACGGATACTGGAGGTGAGCAAAGTGGGCGCTGTCATCACGAACACCATGATCTTCGGCGACAATTCATCGGTAAACGAGTTCGAGTTGGACAAGGAGTTCGACGCCACCCTACCGGACGGCACGCCCTGCCGGGCGGTCGTGAGACTGGATGGCAACCGACTCGTGGAGACGCGGAGTCGATGCGGAGTTAAAGACATTGAGAATTATCGCGAGTTTGTCGGCAATGAGCTCCGGATGACCTTCAATATCGGGTCCGTGGTTGCTGTGCTCACATTCGCGCGCCAGTAGGCAATAATGTTGTTAGCATGGTGGGTTAGTAGATTAGATATGTTTGCGACAATTGTCTATAGAAATTGTCATCATTAATTTCTTTCGAGTGTAACATTGGTTTAAATATTAAAATTAAAATTCAAGTTACAATGTGAGTTTAAAATCTGAATATCTGAATCTTGATTAAATAAATTTAGATTAGTTTTGTTTAGTAAACACTTTTGAATGTACACCAGTTAATTGATCTAGGTCGTAGGGTAAAAATGTTTAAATCATATGTTTAAAATAATTTTCAAATATAATCAATGAACTTGGTTATCAATAATAGTGATTATGGAATTTACAAAATAATATTATAAATAACTAGGATACATTTGTTTGTTTTGTTAACATAAAGTTTAAGATAATTTATGAATATTACAATAAAACATTATATTTAATTTAAGTTTTCAATATTTATTCGTGATATTAGTGAATACATTATATTTTTTATGAGAAAATATAAGTAAAGTTTAAATATAAAATAGCAATTTATCGAGGTGGTTAACATGCTACATTTATTTGAAATTGGTTTTATTAGCTTGCATTAGCAAAAGTTTCAAAACATAAAATTGTTTATTTAAGAACCAAATTAAGATTTATTAAACATTAATCAAATAATAAAATAATTTTAAAGCAGTTGTGATTAAAATAATAAATTTGAATATCTTTCAAAATAAAGGTTGTTTGCAAACATATGTTTTTGATTATTTTAAACCAATAATTTGCATTTTAAATTTTATACTACCCGGACACAACACACTTTTGGAGCAATATTTTACACATACACACATATATTGGTACTAGGGCTGCCACTTATTTTCAAAGCCCTGGAGGACAAATTGCGAAAATTGAGACAGGTCAGGAGGACATTGGGAGGACAAACAAATATTTATTTATAATTTTCTCTGCTGAACTCATAATAAAATAAGAAATTATTGTTTTAATGCTTAAAACACTTGTTATTGCCCTCCGGACAATTATTTCACAGTTTATATTAATATTTTATGTCACATCAAAAGTAAAATTAAATATATTTATAAATTTAACTAAGAATCAAATTAATATTTGAATTATTTTGACAAATATCTCTGGGAGGACATTACATTGTCCTCTTAAGACCCTCGGGAGGACTGTTTTATGAGGGGCCGATTGGAGGACAATCCTCCAAAAGGAGGACGGGTGGCAGCCCTAATTGGTACATTATATTTCCCAAATAGCTAGCTCATAATCATGTTGTTTGAAACAGTATAACCGTATAATTCAATAAAAACATAAATATACCCCGCATAAATATATATAACAAAGTAAACCACTAAATAAATATAATTATAATACTTAAATAAAATTTTAAAACTCAAAGACAATATTCTTGTTAATCCCTGCCCTCAAAGTCATACTCCCTGTGCTCTGTGTATTTATATGAAGCCAAATATGTGTAAAAATAGATTTCATTTATGCATAACTCTGTTATACTTATTCTGTGTATTAATGACACATTTATTGAGAAACAAGAGGTGAGAGAGAGAGAGAGAGAGAGA